CTCTCTATTGAGGCATTTAATAAAGATGTTAATGTTCATAATGTAGTATTATATGCATATGCATTTACCACCGAGCTACGACCGGTTGGGCAGTCATGCATCATCATTTACCAATGAGCTATGGCCGGTTGGGCAGTCATGCATTATCATTTACCACCAAGCTACGACCGGTTGGGCAGTCATGCATCATCATTTACCACTGAGTTATGGCTGGTTGGGCAGTCATGCATCATCATTTACTACCGAGCTATGACCGGTTGGGCAGTCATGCATTTACCACCGAGCTATGGCTGGTTGGGCAGTTTTACATTTACCACCGAGATACGGTCGGCCGGGGAGTCATGCATTTACCACCACGCTACGGCCGGTCGGGCAGTTGCCACTGATGAGTCGGGAAGTTAACGTCACGAGAATGATGTAATCAGAACTATTATATTGTAATTTTATTTATATATATGAGATTAGACTTATTTTATATGTTATGGCCCTCAGCGAAAACTCAGAGGTTACAGGTTGACTCTTATCCCTCCTGGTGATAGTATCTTATTATTATATTTCATTTCTGCCTTACATACTCGGTACATTCTTCGTACTGACGTCCCTTTGCCTGTGGGAGATGTGCTTCTTGCCACGCAAGTGTAAATAGATGAGGCGAGGACCCTCAATTGTAGGCTCCCTTCAAATATCAGTGTTTGGTTGGTGAGCTCCACTTCTTCCTGGAATATTGCTAAATCACGTTCTGTATATGTTATTTTGTTTTATGAGGATGTCAGGAGGCCTATCCCGACTTATATATTATGGTCCTGTTTTGTTAGAGGTTTTGCAAACAATATCATGTGTATAGTTTTAGGTATGACATGTCAACGGCCTTAAGGCAATATTCAAAAATCAGGGTAAAACATTAAAGCTTTTTGATGAGTCAATAAAGCATTAAGTCTAGCAGGAAGTGACCAGATAGCGTGTCTATAGGATTGCACATTAAAAGTCACCTATGTGAGTGTGAAGTATAAGCCGCATCAAGGGGAATGAAAGTAAAGGCCTATTCTCTAAACACTCATGAAACTAGGCGGTGTTCATGGCTAAAACGAATAAACTCGTGAGAACCATAGATGATTAAGGGTTGATTGTGACTTATGTTGTCTAGGTATATAACAAAGCTCGACGGTTCAAAGATATCAAATCTACCAACTGACCGAATATATCTGATATAAGTTCACTACGGAAAGTTCAAAGGGAAATCTACTTATCTAGATACAATTAATCCTTGCATGTAAATCACACACTCGTCCGTGCATTCCTTTGTCTTATAGCCATTCCTTATTAATGTGGGGGATTGTCGGGATTAAAAGATTGATGAATGGGAAATGGAGGGAAGAAAGTGGAGGGAAAGTGAGCTCCATTTTGCTTTGGAAAGAGCAAGTGTCCCCCATTGGTGGTAGAAAGAAACGTGAATGTACTTATATTGAGAAAACACTTCTCTTGGTGTTACTTGGGTTGGAAAGAAAGTAAGGCTCACGTCGTCATCGTCGTTGCTCGCTCGACTCGGCTTCGGATTCAGATTCCGATTTGGTCAATGATTGATTGATTAATCTTTTTGGACAAAATTTCTTTCAATTACTTTATTAATTAACGAAAATTCAACCCGAAATAAGCCAGGACCCGCGACGCGACCCGATCCATTTCTTTCCCAGATTATTTTTAATCCTTTTCTCGAAATATTTTAAATGGGAAATGTTCCCATCTGTTCCAACAACCATGCCTGTTTCTGAAAAGGTTTGCTCTAAAATTGGTTGCAAACCTTTTGAGAAACAGTGCCAGAAAATGGCTATAAATATACCTTGATCCTAGAATTTTTCCTTACAAAATTTTCTAATCTTCTTCTTCTTCTTCTTCTGCACCAAATTTTTCAGTGTGTTTTACAACCATTGAGTGGCTCAAAGTTCATTAGAGGTTTTGCTACCAATACACTGGTGAGTTAATTGTTCTATCATGGGAGTATTCCAGCACCTCGGGTACTTGAGGGGAATAATTTTCTTAATGACACATTGTGCATTTAATGAGCTCGATTTAATCCGAAATTATTTTCAAATATTATTTTGATATTTTGTTGCTGCTAACTTTGTGTTTCTGTTTTTTGTTTCAGAAAGTATACTAGTTTCATTATTCATTATAGTAATACATATTGAATAACATCAATACTATATTTTGTTATAAATATATGGGTGTGTTGTGGCGTACATGCTCTCATTTAATGCAAACTTCTATTTACTTAGTATGAGTTTTACCAATATACTCGAAAAGTAGGTTTTGATTGCTAACTTACACCATGAATTTTATATCACGTAACCATATCACGATAACTCTACTACCAGTTATGATTGAGGAATATATATGTTATAAGTTTTATGAATAGAATCTTGTCCTTCGTGGTAGAATGCTTTTGCATTATAAATATGGTTCGAAGTTAAATATTTCTTTTTTAAAATTATTATTATAAGATAAATTTTAATTAAATTTAAAGTATTAAATTTTAGAACTTCCTATCTAATTCAAAAAAAGGAATGATTTACTAACAAAATTGTTGGAAGACTATACTTTCCAGCTAAACCTTTAAGAATATAATAATTACTGCATCAAAGTTGTAAAAATAAAAACTAACTCATGTAGAAAACGGGTGGGAATCCCTAATTAAAACATTATGTCTATAATAGTGAAATATGTCCGAAATCTTATTGACACTGATATATATTCTTTACCTCAAAAGCTAATGCTATCCTTCACTTGATCCTCTCTAATAGGAGTTTTAAAAAAAATTAGTGGGATGAAGGCAAGGGAATGAAGGATAAACTGACATAAATAGACTTGATGAAAAAAGAAAAAAAAAATATATGTTCAAGGAAATCTCCAATTGCGGAAGTCGTTTAACGAAGGCAACATACTTCGAAGATGTGATTCTTGATGAGTTGAAATATTAGGACTCCTACATTATTATTATTATTATTATTATTATTATTATTATTATTATTATTATTATTATTATTATATAGTGGTTCGAGAGAAGCATCTTATTTTCCTTTGGTTAATCAAATGGTAAATATTTTTCAATTTCACATCTTTTGTAAAATATTTACTATAGTAATACTATGACATTTATTTAACAAGCTATAAAATGGTCGCTTATTAATCTTTTACAATATCATAGTTACATTATCTAATCACTAGTTGATTAGAAATTGGAATTTTTGTTAAAACATACATAATAGATTATTTAACTAATATTAATATTATTAGTATAGGATTATCATGGTCTAATTAAAACCCCAAAGAAATACAAGAAGAATTCAAGTTCAAATTCAAGTTTAAAATCCTTGCTCAATAAGCCTTCTTTTAAGAGCTAGGCACGCCAAACCAATGGCCTAAAACGCTATCTACTAAGCCTGCTCCAAAATCAACCAAAGTTTGTCCGGTTAATCATTTTCAATGAATCTTAAAAGGTGCCTTACCCCTTTCTTTTGAGATAATTAGAATTATTACCTAAAATTTCTAAGGTCAAGTTGATCATAAAACAGAGTTAATATTAAGAATTACATAGCTAAAATTGATATATTAATTCACCATTAAAATAATTAAATGACGATTTATTTAATTAATTAAACCTTCCAAATTATAATATGCTATATTCTAGTTTGACCCCATTAAAATGGGGTACGACAGTATGCACACTATTTTTTGTCACACGCTATATATTTTCTTCTTACACTGTTTGTAATGCGTCTCTTGTTTATGTGTAGTACGTGGAAGTGAAAGAGCTACTCCTTTTTATAGCCGTCGGCTCCACGCACGAAAACAATCCTCCACACAATTCCATTCCATTATTGGGCTCCAACAGTGAATTGTAAATTGGCACGTGCTTTTTATATCAAATCGGGATCCAGAAATTCGGCCAATTATAAAACAAATCCATCATCCCTTTTTAAGCTAAGCAATACATAAAGTAACTGTCGATATAACAGTAAAAAGAAGACGTATATGCGGATCGTCTCTGTACTAAGATTCCAGCAACTTGTATCCATCCATTTATGAAAAGATCACTACCGTCATCGCTTCCTCAACCGTACAATTTGTTCTTGCATTGATCAATCCTTTGAGAGTGCTCATTTTGGTTCTTTTTTTTTCCTTTTATGGCTTGTTTGGTAGTTGTTACCTATTGTATTGTATCGTACTGTTACTTTAAATACAATGTTTACTTTTATTGTTACTTAAATTTTATTGTATCGTATCGTTAAATCCGTCGTTACATAACGACAAAAAGTGCCACTTTATGTAACGACCGATTTGGTTTAGTCGTGTGGTCGCATCGTTACCTGATTTTTTTCTCTCATCTCGCCTTTCATTATTAATAAATAATCTTCTTTTATCCTTTTCCCTATCTTTTTATATAATAATTCTACCTCGTATTATAATTTTTCTTTATAATATTGCAAGTTTATTCTTCATATTACTAGTGCGTGATATCATGAAACGATGACAAATGGTACAGTCTATCCAAATATTGTATTCATCAAACAGTACAATACAATACCATATAATACGATACGATACATTATGAAACGATATGTAACAACCATCCAAACATGCCAATTATCTTGGTTTGTGATTATAGTCTATAGTAGTGCTCTCGCCATCCCATTTAGTGTGATAATGTTTGATTTAGATACAAAAGTTAAAAAAAAAATAAGGACATAAGAAACTTGTAATTTAAAACAAGTCATAAATTGTACGACTATAAATTATCTAATTAAGAATAAAATAAATTTTAAAGTTACAATAATTATAAATACAAAAATATGTCACATAAGAAGAAATGCCATCACATAAATTAAGAACGAAGGAGTCATCATAGATAAACCTATATATATCAATTTCTACTTTTATTTTTCACCAGGTAAGTGTACATATACCTAATTGGTCATACTTAGTATTTCCTTGTGTGTGCGTATATAGTCATAGCGTTATACTAATTTCCAATTGTGTGTATATATATGTGTCCGTTTATGCATCAAAATGGCGTAGGCAATTAATTGATATATAGGAGTATCGCATAAAGCTAGGGAATTGAAGTAGTGTTATTTGTTCATTAATCATATCATGGCCGCTTCGGGATTATTATCATCACCATCACTTGTTTCTATTTGTGACAAATCCTTCATCAAACCTTCTACTCTCACCCCTTCTACACTTAGACTTCACAAGCTATCTTTCGTCGATCAGTCCGTCAGTAATATGTATATTCCTGTGGCCTTGTTTTACCCTAAACCGCAAAGAGAAGAGTCAAACAATTCTCATCTTTCCCACATAGCTGATTTGTTGCAGACATCTCTGTCACAAACTCTAGTCTCTTACTATCCTTACGCAGGAATATTGAGAGACAATGCTACTGTTGAGTGTAATGACATGGGAGCTGAGTTCTTGAGTGTTAAAATAAATTGTCCCATGTCTGAAATCCTTAACCATCCTCATGCAACTGATGCAGAGAGTATAGTTTTTCCAAAGGACTTGCCTTGGAAGAATAATTATAAAGGTGGTAATTTACTTGTGGTTCAATTAAGTAAGTTTGATTGTCGGGGAATAGCCATTAGTGCATGTTTATCGCATAAGATTGGCGATGGTTGCTCTGTGATTAATTTTCTTAATCATTGGGTTAATGTCACTCGTGATCGTAGATTTATAGTTCCTTCTCCTAGATTTGTAGGAGATTCTATTTTCTCTTCACTAAATGGTCCTCTTATTGCTCCACAAATTATGTCTAACGTCAGTGAGTGCGCGCAGAAAAGACTTGTTTTTCCAACTGCCAAATTGGATGCTCTTCGAGCTAAGGTAATACTACCACCGGTTCACTAGCTATTTTTATGTCTTTTAAAATTTGAACACATTACCTTTTACAAAGATATTCGGTACTCCTCGGTTCTCATTTATATGGCATAGTTTTACCTTTGCACGAAATTTAAGAAAGAACAAAAAAAATTAGTCATTAATATTTATGTGACTGTAAAAACTATCATTAAAGGTAAATTAGAAGCTTAAGTTAATTGTTACAAATTTAGGAAGGTTTCAGAAGTTCAAATTAATTTATTTCAAAATTTAGAAAAGTGTCAAACGAAGGAAGTAGTCTCGACTATTAGAGTACAATCAAACCTCTTTAGAACAACCTCGTTTGTTCCAGATTTTTTTTTATTATTATAGCAAAGTGTTGTTAAAGAACATATATTATAACATAGCATGAAAATTGGTTCCTAAATAAACTTGTCTTTTATAGTGAATAGTTGTTATATGACGATTTTATTACAGAGAAGTATGACTGTATTTGTTAAAGGTACTCTCAAATGTGTCACCTACTTAAATAAATTTATCTTGCAAAAAAAGACTAACATTTTTTGGGATTGAAGATAGCAGTAGAATCAGGAGTAGAGAACCCAACACGGGCTGAAGTTGTCAGTGCACTTCTTTACAAATCTGCAACAAAGGCAGCAGCATCATGTTCTGCAAATATACAACCATCTAAGTTGGTTCACTACTTAAATGTACGTACTATGATCAAACCTCGTCTACCACGAAGTGCAATTGGAAATCTCTTATCCATGTTCTCCACAGCAGCTACGCAAGATATTGAGTTGCCAAGATTGATTCATAATCTAAGGAAGGAAGTTGAGGTAGCGTACAAGAAAGACCAAGTTGAACAAAATGAACTGGTCTTAGAAATAGTAGAATCCATACAAAAAGGAAAATTACCATTTGAAGAAAACGATGAAAATTGTACTACTCCTACTACTATGTATTTTTGCAGCAACCTTTGCAAATTACCATTCTACAGTGTAGATTTTGGGTGGGGAAAACCTGAAAGAGTGTGCCTAGGAACTGGTCCATTCAAGAATTTCTTCTTCTTGAAAGATTACTAAACTGGGCGAGGCGTGGAGGCGCGAGTGATGTTGCAGAAACAACATATGTCTGCATTTGAATGCGATGAGGAACTCCTTGAGTTTGCCTCCTCCTCAGCTCCAAGTCTTTAATTACGAGGAGTTTGAAATCTTCATTTCTGTTTCATTGTATGATTTTGCATGTTTATTTGGTCCCTTAATAGTGTTGCTAAGTGGAATACGTGCCTTTATTTTGTTTACTTGGTTTGTTTGATTTTTCTGATATGTAACTCTCACCCAATATATAATTTGTAATTGTATGTTTCATCAATATGATTACTACGGTATTTTATGATTAACACTGATATTTAGGGATATGTGTGTAGCACCTCGTACCTTAGTGTTTGGAAACATCGTAGTAAAACCATGTTAGTTGGAAGAGATTAAGGTCATACATGAATTTATAGATGTAAGACACGTAAGTTTATTGAATTTCGAAAACGTTATATATTGCCTTAATATGATACTTTCTTTTAAGAGAAACATGCTTTTGTAGATGTTGGATAAATATGATTATCAAAAGTTATTAGTATAATATCTTTTGATAAGTTTTAATTAAACACATGATATGAGAAAACTTTTAAATAATATTTTATGTATTACAAGAAAAGAAATTTCTTTCTCATAAGAAAAGTTATGTTTATATCCTTTCTACAAATTCTTTTCTCATAATAAAATTTATCTTTACCCATTTTGAGAATTAATAGTACAAAAAATTATATTCTTGACATTTGAATGGAAAAATTATAATTCTATAACATATATTTTCTAGATGTCATAATGTTTATGATATATTAGTATAGTTTAAATTTATAAAGCACTTATGATTTTCTTTAAATATAAATGTGATGAGTTGATTATTAAATAATTTTGAAAGTATGAGACAAGGACTTTTAATTCCCAATTTTATTACCATACATGAATTTGTTATTTATTTGCACTTACCGCGGATGAGAAAGGATTAAGGGGGACAGGGAATCTAATTTGTTGTTCTAAGTAGGTCTCACCTAATAAATGGACATTCGGTTTGATAAGGGAATGATACATAGTAAAGGTGCCATATGTGTGTATGTATATTAGTATCACTTCCTATGACTCATCCACGTTATTAAATTAGGTGAAAAGTAAGACCTACATGTACTTTACATTACTACTAAGACAAAACAAAATAACGTATGGATGCTAAGAAGTGGAAACAATTTGAAAGTGAGAATCTTGCTAAGAAGTGGAAACAATTTGAAAGTGAGAATCTTCTTTAACTAGCAAATTTTTCTTTAGAAAGTATATGTTGCAATGAACCAAAAATGGCAACAATGAAGGCATTCTTGTTGTTTACCAAGTGAAATTATCTACTAGTGTAACTAGTTAAAGGATCTGATTTTTTTTCACTTATTGAGATTACGTGTGAAGAAGGCCAAGTTCGTCGCCTTCGATAAAGTCATCACTAAAGGTATGTTAAGGCTAATCATAAATGGTGCTACTCTTAGTAGTTAAGAATGTCTACGTTATTCATTCCTGTAAAATGGTATTCAAAGCATGCCTAAGTATGTTCCTAACTCTCTATTGAGGCATTAAATAAAGATGTTAATGTTCATAATGTAGTATTATATACATCTTTATTTATCACCGAGCTATGACCGGTTGGGCAATCATGCATCATCATTGACCACCGAGCGACGACTGGTTGGACAGTCATGCAACATCATTTATCACCGAACTACGGCCGGTTGGGCAGTCATGCATCATCATTTACCATCGGGCTACGGTCGGTCGGGCAGTCATGCATTATCATTTACCACCGAGCTACGGCCGGCCATGCAGTCATGCATTTACTACCGTGCTATGGCCGATCGGGCAGTTATCACTGATTAGTCGGACAGTTTAACGTCACGAGAATGATGTAATCAGAACTATTATATTGTAGTTTTATTTATATATACGAGATTGGACTTATTCTATATTTTATGGCCCTCAACGACAAGTCAAAGGTTATAGGTTGACTCTTATCCCTCCTAGTGATAGTATCTTATTATTATATTTTATTTCTACCTTACATACTAGGTACATTCTTCGTATTGATGTCCCTTTGCCTGGAGGCACTGTGTTTCATGCCACGCAGGTTAAATAAACGAGGCGAGGACCCTCCATTGTAGGCTGCCTCCAGATATCAGCTTTTCGTTGTTGAGATCCACTTCTTCCTGGAGTATTGACGAGTCACGTTCTGTATATGATATTTTGTTTTATGAGGCTGTCGGGAGCCATGTCTTGACTTATATATTATGGTCATGTTTTCTTAGAGGTTTTGTAGATAGTGTCCTGTGTATAGTTTTAGGTATGACATATCAACGGCCTTGTCGGCCCTTATGTATCTATATAAATCTTTTTGAATTAGTTATGTGAGTTAAGTTCTAATATTATTACTTTTATATATATATATATATATATATATATATATATGTATGTATGTGTGTGTGTGTGTGTGTGTCCTATCATGGCCCGTAATGAGTCTTATAGTAAAGAAGGATAAGGTACGTGACGCTCGGTTGAGTAGGCACCGGGTGCCAGTCGTGGCCCTCCGGTTTGTGTCGTGACAAACTTGGTATCGGAGCGGATCTGTCCTATGGTTGTCTGTAAGCCGTGTCTAGTAGAGTCTTGTTTATAAATGTGTTGTGCACCACATTGTATAAACTGGAAACTACATGGCATTTAGGGACCGGTTACCCTTTCTTCTTGATATTAGATCGTGCAATATAGAAGAGTCATAGGGATTAAAGCCCTTGACCTTTAACTTGTTTTATATATGCAGCGATGCCTGTGATCAGGAAAGCTACAGCTAGTCAGAAGGGTAAATCAATGGCAGATGAGGGCATGAGTAGAGCATCAATGTCTAGTAAGGTCCAGAGTGAGGCCCCGAGATGAAGTGTGACACCCTCGCATAGTTCTCCGATTTCGCCAGCACCCGAGGAGCTGAGGAGGAACCCAGTACCTCCATATGTTGCTCATGATAAGGATATGGATATGCGGAGTGCAGTATGATTGTTGACTAGATTGGTAGCCGCTCAGGATCAACACTACAGGTGTTGGTTATGTTGACAGGGCTATTAGCGCGAGAGTTCGAGACTTCATCAACCTGGACCCTCCAGTATTTACCGGATCCAACAAGGATGAGGACCCGTAAAACTTTATCGATAGGATGCAGAGGACTTTGAGGGTGATGCATGCATCAGACTCTGAGTTAGTAGAGTTGGCCTCTTACCGATCGCGTGATATTCCGATTCAGTGGTATGAAACTTGGGAATTGTCTAGAGGGACAAATGCACCTCCAGCGGTATGGGAAGAGTTCTCAGGGGATTTCTTTTGTCATTACTTGCCAGCAGAGATATGTCAGGCAAGGGTAGACAGGTTCTTGGCTCTTAAATAAGGGAATATGAGTGTGCGAAAGTATAGTCTCCAGTTTGATTCCTTGGCGAGGTATTCCCCCTCGATTGTGGCTGAGATGAGTGACGAAGTGCATCGGTTTGTGGTAGGACTTGGGCCGCACCTGATAAATGAGTGCTCTACAGACGCTATGCTCGATAGTATGGATATTTCCAGCATCTAGGCTTATGCTCAGAATTTGGAGGATCAAAAATGGCAATAGTACGAGGATCGTGATAAGAGTCAGTGTAAGAGGGATAGGTCTGCTCGATAACTTGAGGATTTTTGGGGTGATCCTGTGCCACCATATTCTATTGATAATGTCTGACAGTTGCAGAGGCCACGTTATGAGTGATCGGTTTATTTTGAATCAGGTCAGGGCTTGATAACTTCGGGTTTTCCAAAAAGGGATGGAGCACAGATAAGGGCGCCTCCTCTGCGGGTGCAGTCAATATGATAGAGCTTATTATGGATAATGTCGTTAGGGATCTAATTTATGCTATACATGTGGAGACCTTAATCATTACATGAGGGATTGTCGTATGAAGGACAGAGGTATGGTGGTTCAGCCCACCAGATCTATAACTGTCACGACCCAAAATCTCACATGTCGTGATGGCGCCTATCTTAATACTAGGCAAGCCGAAAATCTCAATAAACCACCATATCTTTTAAATTTGAAAACATAATAA